ACACACGCACATCAACACTGGCCAGCCTCGATCCTGGGCCCGGGACCGAAGGATAAGAGCCCGTTCTTTCTCAACTCCCGTGACCGGACCCCCCCCTCTCCCCCCTCCACGGTCACGTCACGATTCGCGCCGGCACCGTGTGGGCATTCCTGAGCTTTCCCAGACGGCTCCGACGCGGATCGTGACGTGACCGGCCCCCTCCCCACCTCCCCCCAGTGACGCCCGTTCTCGCCTGGGGATAAGAAAGGAATCTGACCCCCCACGACCTGGCCAGGAAGGCGCCCACACGCCGATCCTGGGCTGCAGGCCAGAGCGCGCGAGCCCGAAGATCCGACGACGCGGAAAAAATGCAACAACGTGACAAATCACGGCTGGAGCCCACCTCGTCTTTCTGCGCGCTTCCTGGATCCCCGCACATGTGCGAAAACGCCCGAAGCGAACGCATTGCGACGCCAAGATCTTGATCAGGGAACTTCACAGAGTACCGACGCCAAGAATCTTTCATAACGTCGACCAGAGGTCTCGACCCATGCACCGGGACCAATTTTGATCCTGAGTCGTTTTTCGACGGTCCCGAGGTCTGGTAAGGGCCCCCGAAAGCCAAAAACAGCGAGAGCCCCCCCCCGTCGTGATGTTTTCATGATTCGAGGGGGTCCCCACTCTGGGCGAACACGCCCGGTGCGGACAACAATACGGCGCCCGCCCTGGTACCCTCGTGTCAATGTTGAGCTACATAGTAGGTGCCTCGCTCTCCTGGGACTCTGCTGTGTTTTTGCTCGTTCCAATTTGTCACGTGTGCGGAGCCACTGTGCATGCCACGCTTTCCTGTGGCTTTGCTGTGCTTCTGCTAGCAACGCACACCGCCAAAGGCGGCGGAGAGCTCGAGAGACTCATCCACAAAAATGCCTTCACGAGCCGCGCCCGCCGTGGCGGCGGCGGAGTGCCCCAGTCGGTACGGCCTGCCTGCTGGCGGGGCAGGCGGCGACAATAGAGGCCTCCTGGATGGGGTCCGAGCAGAGGGGGTCGGAGGATCGCGCCCTCTTCGCCGATGCATCGGTGACACCGCCGATGCATCGGCGCCGACGGCGTCGAGAGCATCGGGCTCCACATCGACCCGCATCGCCGATGCATCGGCGATGCGGCGCGATCCTCCGACCCCCTCTACTCGGACCCCATGTGGGAGGCCTGCTATAGAAAGGAGCGGTCCCCCAAAGGGAGTGGCTCCAGACAAGCGAGGCCCCAGGCAAGAGAGGCTCCAGGCAAGGGGGAACTCTGGTGTGCCGCTTGAGGAGCCGCGAGGACGGCTCTGGATGAGAAGCTGGCCCAGGGGAAGAGGTCGTCCAGGCCTCCAGGGTTCCACGTTGTGCAGAAGCACGCAGTCGGAATATTGGGCCATGTGGGGAGCTCTAGGGCTCCCCGAAGGACCGGTAGAGGCCGAGGCGGTGAGCCCGGACACCTCCTCGAGGATGGGGGCGGGGGCCCCCGCCCGTCTTGTCCGCCCTCTGCTGCCGGGGCGAGCGCCGCGGCTCGGGGAAACGTCGTGGGACGTCGTAGGCTTCGCCAGGACCACAAGATCTCGACCCATCGCGGTCACAGGGCGAGTGCAGAGGCCGCTCGGCAGACAGGCAGGGAACGCCGCACGGGCCTGCCTGTGGCGGGCAAGCTCGTGCAGCCAGCCGCGACCTGGCCATGGCCAGGATACGGCACCGGGTGCTACACGCTCGTTTTGCCACGACACATGCACATGAATTGGGGGGCCGCGTGCGACGGAATACAGCCCTGCAACCGGGAGGGACAATCCATGACCGCCACGGGGAACACAACAATAAACGGGACCAATCACGTCGGGGACACACCTTCTTGACGTGACTTTCGAATCGCATGTGTTGCGGTGCAGTGCTACGGCTCTGCCGGGAGGGACCGCTCTCTAAAAACGGTCGCCGAGGTTCTCCCTCGAAGCCGTCAACAGCGGCAACCGGCTCTACCCCCGCGACCTGCAAGAGGACGCTGCCGTGCCGTGCAATGCTGGCGGGGCGCCCGGGGGGGGGGAGCAGAGGGTGCGGGCCTCCCCAGCAGGTGCAGAATTACCAGCCTGGAACATATCCCTATTCCTATGCTGGGCACCTCCTCATCACGATGCCAATCTTAGGGATTCCCTTTTTTTTTGAGGGCGAATCCCTAAGATTGTCATCGCCTTTTGGCGTGTGAATCTTAGGGATAGGGATACGTTCGAGGCTGGTAACAGAAGGCCTCCGGCATGCCGAGAAAGGTTCCAGGCCTGCTCCGACGCCACAGAGGGCATCTCAGAAGCCTGGGGGGCTTCCGAGAAGCACCGCCGCCCTCCGAGAAGGCCCCCGCCCCCTCCCTCTCTCACTTCCCCCCCCCCGCGCGCCGCCACGGATCCACCCGTGGAGGACGTTGGAGTTGTTTGCTCCTGTGGAGCCTCTGGACGCGGCTCGACAAACAGACCCGGGACGGGGGCCCTGGAAGCCCCTCCTCCCTGGCGCGGCTCGGGAGAGGGGGGGACCAGGAGGGTACGGAGAAAAACATGACTGCCAGACATAGTAAGATGAGGGAGGAGGCATGTACTGAGCAGGATGTGCTAAAAGAGAGATAGGAGGATGGCGAACCGGCTGCATGGAGGCTCTGGGTGCCACATGAATGCTGGCTAAACTAAAAATGAGGTCAAACACGTCAAATAATGGAAGGTGGATGGGTAGGGGGTGACGGATACAAATCAAATAAAAAACCAGTGTGCGACTCAACTAACCACAATTCAAACATAAAGGCTGGGGGGGCTAGGAAATGCGACGGAAGCCAACGGAATGCTTAGAAAATGTTTGGGAATTCAACGGAAATCCGAAGGAGTCCATAGCCCCCTTCGGAAATATTCGGGCATCCGGTGGAATCCGTGTGCATCGCTAAGTCCTGGTGGCGAAATCTCAGGAACTCCTGCGGCATGTGCAGGGCATCTTTGAGAACCCCTCAATTCCCTCTCGTCATATTGTCGTCGTCGATGTCGTTGTCGTTGTCGTTGTCGTTCTCGTCGGCATCGTCATCGTTGTCGTCATGGTCATCGTCGTCGGCAATATCGTCGCCCTCGTCGTCGTCGTCGTCGTCCTCCTCGTCATCGTCCTCGCCCTCGTCCCCTTTGTCGTCCTCGGCCTCGGTGTTGTCGTCGTCGTCGCCGTCGTTTCCGACGACCTCATCGTGGAGGTCGTCGCCGTCGTCATCGTCGTTCTTGTCGGTATTGTCATCGTCGTGTTCGTTGTCGTCATCGTCTTTGTCGTCGTCCGTCATCGTCGTCGTTGGTGTCGTCCTGACCGTCGTCGTCGTCGTCGTCGTCGTCGTCGTCGGTGTCGGCCCCGTCCTCGTCGCCGTCGTGTTCGCCATCGTCGTCGTCGTTGTCGTCGTCGTCGCCTCGACGTCGTCGTCGTCGTCCGTGTCGTTGCCCGTGTCATCTATGACTCGTCGTCGTTGTCGTCGTCATCGTTTTCGTTGTGGGCAGCGTCGTTCTCGTCGTTGCCGTCGTCGTCGTCGTCGGCCTGCTCGTCGTCCTCGCCGTCCTCGTCGTCGTCCTCGTCGTGTTCGTCGGTGTCGATGTCGTTGCCGTCGCTCTCGTCGTCGTCGTCGTCGCCATCGTGTTCGCCGTCGCCGTCTGCGTCGTCGGCGTCGTCCTCGGTCGCGCCGTCGTCGTGGTCCGTGTCGTTGGCCGTGTCATCTGTGACTCGCCGTCGGTGTGGTCGTCGTCGTCGTCGTTTCCGTCGTCATCTTCGCCATCGTCGTTCTCGTCACCCTCGTAATCGTTGTGGCGATTGTGGTCGTCGTTCCCGTCGTCGTCATCGTCGTCGTCGTCCTCGTCGGCATCGTCATAGTCGTTGTCGTCACCCTCGTCGTCGTGGTCGTCGTCGCTCCCGTCGACGCCCTCGTAGATGCTCGATGGTTTTGCGCAACTTTAATCTCTCGGCCGACCCAGCCCACCCGCCCGAGAAAAACCGCCCGCTCGACCCGCCCGTTAAGGTCCGCTCGCCCGACCCGCCCGTAAGGGCCCGCCCGCCCGACCCGCCCGTCAGGGTGCGCCCGCCCGACCCGCCCACGAGGGTCGTTGTCGCAGTCGTCGCCCTCACCGCCGTCGTCGTTGTCGCCCTGGTCGTCGTGCTCGTCGTCGGAGTCTCGTCGTCGTTGCCCCTTATTCGTCGTACTCCTCTCTCGACGTCGTCGTCGTCGTCGTCGTCGTCGTCGTCGTCGTCGTCGTCGTCAATGTGGCCGTCGCAGGCGGCGTCGTTGGCGAGCCCTCCCCGCCTCTGTCGCACGTGGCGGCTCAAGACACCATGATTTGCTTGGCCGCCCAGTGTTGCCACGCGAAGGGTCGAGCAGAGCGCTCTGTTTCCGCCCCTCTGCGCTGCCACGTAACGAAAGTAGAACAATCTGTGTTCCGCACGCCGCTGCCCCCAGCCGAATAGAATAGTAGATGCTCAACCCCAAGGCGACGCCAGGTGACGGATAGGGAAGAATACTATTAATTTCCGCCGCCCTCCGCTGCCACGTGTCGAAGATATCATGATAGAGGAATACGTGTTCGCATCCCTGCGGTGACACGTGGAACGTTGAGTCGAACGCGCTTCGTTCGCGCCCCCAGACGCTCGTATAAAACGAAAAGGGTCGACGATCGAAGATGTCACGAAGGGTGCCCAAAGGGTACTTACAATACCCGCACGATTTTACGAAGAATCGCAAGCATGTCCTAAGGGGTTCTGTGGATTCCTTGGGGTTCCTTGGGGAGCCCCAATAATGTCTTGATGTTCTCGATGGATTCCTTCAGAACTCCCACAAAGGCCAGCAACATATTCTAAAGATTCCTACGGGTTCCCGCATCGAGGCGGGCATTCGGGCTGCTAATGGTTGTTATCAGCGTGCCGTCTGGCGACTGACAAGAAATGGAGGTTGCTAAACACGTAGCGACACTGAAACAAGTGATCCGGTGCAACAATACAGATAAA